CAGCAATATTGTATCTGTGGGCGACATTCATTGTTGCAACTAATGAGGTAAGTTCTTGGTGTGGGGAGGTACAAGAGCTTGATAGTGGCCAACAAGCTGAGATGGATCAAATACTAATTTTTTAGAAAATACAAATACTTCTCGTTATTATTGATGTAATATAATTAGAAATACAAATATAAATACAAGTAATTTTCTTCCAGATTCCAAAAATATAAATACAAATACTTCTGAAACTAGGTAAAAATCTAAATGCCTTTTCACATAAATACAAATGCTCTGAAAAGTATTTAAATACAATTTAAATACAACTTTATTTGATCCATCAATACTAACAAGCACCGGGCACTGAAAAACCTGGAATTAAAATATGTCAAGACTAGAACAATTCATTTCATCTATTTGAATTCATAAAACAAATATATGACAAGGCTTGGTGGTCAAAAATTTGTCAATAACACCATCCACATTTATATGTCCAAATTCTTCATTTTTGATGATTAATAAAGCCAAATTGTTTGGGCGTTCCTGACACACAGAGATAGTTTTTATTAATTTTAGTTTGCTAAAAGAGTGCTCACAGGATGACAAAGAGACAGCAACAGCCAACAATATGTGGAATGCTATTTGTAAATTGAAGAACACATCATCGCCGTAAGATATTGTGAAATTGAGAAGCTCAATTGGGGTTTTTGAATCAATGAAGGCACTGTGTTTTTTTTTTCTTTGTATTAACATTGTAATTTTTCTTTGTATTAACATTGTAATTTTGTGACCAAGTTCTATTCCATCAAAATCTCCCTTGTATGTTACAATAGCTACTTTGTTTTTTTCTACCGTGTCTTTGTTCAAGTCAATGAGGCTCTCAATATCCAAGAGAAGTCCAAATTGTTCATGTAACTGATTCAGTCTTGTAAATCGATCTTTCAGTTCCATATTCAACCTTGTCCAGTACAGCCTTCAAGGTATCATCCATTTCTTCTCTCACATTTAGAGGCTCATCTTTTATCTTCTCTCCAGCCATTCTCTATTTATGACACATCCTTCTCTGTTGAACAATGTCAATACCTCATTCTAAGCATTTTTCCTTGCCTATAACAAACACCTGCTCTGATGCTGCATGCACTTCTATGAGGTTCAAAGTATGGTTGTCACAATTCACAAAATTGCTTTTGGGTTTCTCTGTGATATGCGTTTCTGGACACTGGACATCTTCCCAGCCATTGTTGCGCACTGTCACACGTCTGTCCACAACGGTCGTTCAAATCAAAACCATCTCATTTCAATTTTGTGGTGGTGTAGAACTTAATCCTATGGTATCTGCTTCCTTTGACTCTCTGTAGGATAGACTGATGTACTTCATTGCCCAGTAGCTCAATGAGCTCGTTCTGTATCTTGCCAGTCAAAAATGTTGCAGAATGTAGATGCGACTTGACGCAATCCAACTGATGCTGCAACAGAGAGTCATAGTTGCTAAATAGCTAAACAAGTACAAGAGAATTACCGAGATTATTACTTGATGCAATGACTTTTCGACAATCATAAAATGCTAGATTTTGAGTTGCCAAAAACTTAATACAATCCACAAAATGCCTGAGCTGATCCTTTCACAATTGCTTCTGTTCTTTCATATGCTTCAGTATTACTCTGTCAATTGTAGACTCTTCTGATATATGTCCCAAAGTCTTTCCATGCAAGAAATGATGCATGGTGATGAGTGCCCTGTTCATGTTCTGGTATTATTTTTGTTTTGGGCGACCTTGAGGGTTGTTTTTCAGTCCAGTGACATTTCATGGCCTCGTAAACTATTGTATCATGAATTAGTGGAGGGGGTCATGAAGCATTCTCTATGTGGCTGGCTTGGCTTGTTGGCATCAGAGTTGCACTCTTTCTTATCTTGCATGCCAGCAACCCGAGTTTTTGCTTACCTGGTGATTGATTTGAAATGTCCTATCTGTCAATCACATCGCCTGCAGAAGGGGCTGAGTGGATTTGCCCAACTGTTTTCGGTGTCACCTTGGTTTAGAGGAAATGGCTTCACACACCTACCATTGTCCTCAGGTGTGTTTGTTCTGGGACTGTGTTGGCAATTTGACGGCTCATATCAGTTCCAAGCAGCTTGTGTCCATCAATCTCAGACATGCGTGTAATAATGTGTCACCACGGATGGTGTTTCTGACATTCTTTTATCTTGGCTGGGTCAGTCTTTGAGTTTCCTCATTCTGGCATTTATTTTTCCTTCCCACTCCCTTAGTGAATGTGCTTCTTGATTCTGTCGAGGCAGAATACAGCAGCTATTCTTATTATTTTTGAGGGAGTTAGACAGGTCCTATGAACATTGGGTTTTTTGTAGGTTCCCTGTGAAGATGTGGTATATAAAGGATTGAATTGGGATGGATGAGTTCTTGTGGTGAATGAGATAATTGTAATGAATAAATGGGTCATGAATCCGATTAGCTAGGTGTGGATAGTTGATGTTGACTAGCCCTACCCCAATTCCCCCTCAGCTTTGTACTACAATTATTTGTAAAAACAAATAATAAATAATCATTCCTAATCTACACTGGAATGAACAATTGTGGCTCAAGGATTGAGGAATCAAAGAGCTGACTTTGAATCCCAGTTGAGTTCATTGCATTTGCTTAGATGCTAATACCCTTGGGAAAAGTATGAATCCACCTGAGCTCTGTAGCCATGGTTGGCAACCAGACTAAGAGAAGGACAGCTCTGCATTCAAATCTGAAGCTGGACAGTCCAATGTCATGTTCAGTTTTATGTAAACTCCTGCAACAAAACCAGTGCCAAGCTGTATTAGCCTCTGCCTTTCCCTTTCCCTTGGATAACATTAGTGGTGTGGAGAGGAGAGATCTGCTGCATCTCTCAGAAAAAAATTATAAAAAAAACTGCACAGGCCTGTGCCCTGGAGAGTGCATAGCTCTTCAAGCACAGACCTATGTTCTTTCAATGCTGATGGATGCCATACCATTTAATAGTGTTTTCATTTGGGGTAATGATAGAAAAAAGCACCATAATGGCTCACCAACCTGAGAGATGAGTAGAAACTGCTAACATCAGATAGTGGTAGCTGATAGTGATGTGCTGAATAACTGCAATATTCTATGGCTCTGGTCAGCAGCATTCTTGATCTAAATATTTGACTGATGTAAAAAAAAAAAAAAAATAAACTGGCATTTCTCAAGTTCAAGATGGAACCTGAATTACGAGTAAATTTTTAATTATTTTAAATATGAAGGGTTTCATTTTTTTGGCTTTTTAAAAGCCACATCATAAACTAATTTCTGGAGAACTGTACCATTTTCTCTCTCAAAAATGTGTTGTCCAAAGACACAAATATAGATGTTTTATGTGACAATTTTTTTGTATTTTACCAATTTGTTAATAAATATGATAGTTATTTATAGTTGACTATTTATTCAAAAGTTTAGTAAACTTTAATCCAAATCATGAATTCTATGACTAAACTACCTTTAAAGCCTAAAAACTGACCTTAAGTGAACAATCCCTACTTTATTACCGTCCCTGATTCTCGGTTTTCAGTTCCAGTGGTCTTTATTTTTTCTTTATGCATGTCTATAAATTTTTATTACCCTTACTTAAGAAAAAAAAAAATTGTCCCATTAACAGACTTCCACAATGACAGACATTTCAAAAAACAACACTCGAAAGTTGAAAAGTATATGGGGTATTTTATGCAACAAGACAATAACTTGAAAGTTCTTTTATCACACATAATATTTTTTTCTTTTATTTTTGCCTACTTTATAATTTTTGAAGGGATTCACTCCCACGGATCAGAGAAGAAATGAACATCTTCCTGGTTGTGTCTTCTAATTGAGTGTATAATTTCAGGAATATTGATAAAGATTGGTCACTTTGATTTTGAGAAACAAAGTAACATGTAAAATTTAGTCTTGAGAAAAAAAATATCATATTTTGCATGGCAGATGGGGTCTTTGAAAGTCTTCTAAGCAGCATCCACTTGACCAAAGAGGAATGAAAGAGTAAATGAGTGGATAAGGGCTTTGTGGCCAATTGACAACAAAACTGGACATAGAGCATATTCAGTTGTTGGCCTATATTAATAGTCACAACTGGAATCAAAGGAGTCAGTTCTGGTCTGCAAGAGACAGTTCTTTGCATAGTTCCAATGCTGCCCATTTATATTACCAGCCACAGATGAGTAGTAACCAATTCCCTGCTCTTTTACTCATCCATGAAGAGCTGAGACCTACACAGCAGAAGTTGTCCCAAGTATCAGCTACCTACCCACCCAGACCAAGTCCTGAATGAAAACACGTATATTATAATATTAGGAACAGGGTATGAGTTAACTTTTCTTAATATGGTGTTTGATTCCACTAATTGTTTCCTCATGTATGTGTAGTGGGCTTTTCCCAGTTTTTGGTGTCTACTGATGTGAACAAGAATGGAAACACAACATGGAGATGTCATTGTCCGGTCAATGGAAGGATGCATTGTATGTTTACAGCCACATTCAAAGTTCCTAAATTATTCCATCTCAGTTGTTTTAGACATGATTTTTTCTCATTAACTACTACATAACAAGAAGTAGATAAGTTTTGACTCTCATTACTTTGTATTCTCTTTTAAAAAGGTTATTAATATATTACTGCTATACACTGAAAATACAGACCAGTTTGATTAAAAATGATGTCACTGATGAACAGAAACCTTCTTCTTTTCTTGGTTATTGTCCCTCTCTTTGGCAACTTTGGTGAATGTATGTCAATGCTCTTTCAGGCTACAACCAGCATGGTTTTGACTTTAATAAGACTTTCAATCTCTAGGCCTGTTGATATTAATTTCATGGTTTAAAATACCTGGATGCCTACTCAGATATGTGTAAAAATTAAATATAATGTTTATATATATATATAAGAATATATATATATATATATATATATATATATATATATATATATATATGTATGTATGTATGTTTAAACCTATTCTTTCAGATTTCCAACTATGTTGGTTTCAAAAGGCTTTCCTTGTATTGATATCCTTGAATACTATAATAAAATTTTTGGCTGTAGACCTTGTGCTGCTTGCATCAAAGGAACAGGAATTGACCACAAACAGGTAAATATCTAAACTATAATTACAAACTATAATTTTGGCAAATGAAAATTTTAAAGTTTATATCTGAAATCAAGAAAATAGTTACTTTAAACAATGTCACAATTTATGCAAAAGGAAGAAGTATTTTTTTTACTCATGAGGAAACTTCAATTTACATGAGTTTGTGTGAAAGCTATGCATAACATATAATAGAAATTAGCTTTATAAACATACAGGCCATGATTAAGTCATTTAACATGTTAAAATGTGGCCTTATGATAAACAATCACATCAGCAAACATATATGTACCATTTGAATAAATATCTCCATTATTATATATATATATATATATATATATATATATATATATATATATATATATTTGATATTTCATGTTATTTTAATTTTCTTTTTATTTGTGGCCCATTATTAAAACTGGACCTGCATCTTGTACACTTATGGCAATCATCACCACACACACATACACCCTTACAAATTCAAATCTTCAACAGCATTCATTCATTGGACAGGAATCAACACTGCTATCTGAAGCAGCAATTTTAAAATCGCTATATTTTCATATAGTAAATTTTGTGCACTTTTGGGAGAATCGGCTCCCAGAAGTCTCCCCAAAACTCATGCACTGATTGGTCAGTATCGGCCAATCAGATTCTCTGCTTGTAGAGAATGATTTTTCCCGCGCAGCACTCCTGATTCAATGGCCACTTATATAAGCATAGGAAAAGAGGAGACCCGCAGTGAGACTTCAGCTGCCACAGAAATTTATGACAGTTGAAGATATGCACCCATCTTCTCACTTAACTCTCAAGCTGCATATTCTATCACACTTACATAATTTTCCTCTTGCATGGCAAAACTGTTTAAAAACATTTATAACAAATAACTCTTTCATTTCCTTTTCAGAGAACTTTGATAGACTTTGATAGTCAAAGAGAGACAACTCTCATCTTACTCATTGCATTCTTTTTCATATACATTCTTTATTGTATGCTTTGTTTAATACAATTTATATATATTATACCTTTACCTTGTCCCTTTTTTCACATCAGTTTGGGTTCCAAAACAAAAATTAACTAAATGTGGTAAAAGGCTGACACACACTTGTAATGGTGTTAACAAGTTCATCTAAAGATTGTCTTTATTGTAATCATTACATTATCAATGACACTATTTTTTAAAAACTTGACAAAACTCAAAAGTTTCAAGTGTTAAACTTTTATTAAGAATATTAACAATAGGACTTTTGTTAGATAGGCTACAAGAAGATAAAATAAAGTAATCTTTATTAAGGATAGAAAAAATAATTAGCCTAGTAACAAACTGGATGGTAGCTTAACATCCATGCAAAGTTTCATCAATATTAGTACATGGGTTTAGGCAGCAACTTGATTCAGACAGACAGAAATTGCCATTTATATAATATATAATATATATCTTACTTATTATAAGACGCAGATTGTGTGTGTGTGTGTGTGTGTGTGTGTCTGTAACGTTTATATATTGGATCGGATTTCCTACATTTTTCAACCAATTTCAACAAAACTTCACAGGACTACATAAAATTACCTTGTGGTGGTTCTAACAGCGCCAAAAATGGGAAAAATATAATTGCTTTTGCACAAAGTCAATTTGAAAACACAATTAAGAGACATCGTGAAAAAGGAAGGGGGACAACTCACATCGGGTTGTTTGTGTGTGGGGGTTCCTTTAAATATGGGAGCGGATTTCCTATATTTTTCAGCCGATAAAACAAAACTTCACTTTCTTTTTTTTTTTTTTTGTCAGGTAGTGTTTCTTATTCTCTTGCACACTTTTTTCTTTATTTTTAACATTCAGAATGCTTTAAAAATTCCATTTACAAGACAATTATTTATAATAAAATTCTATTCAATCAGGAGACTCATAACGATTGAAAACAATGTTTTTGTTTGAATTTGTAAAAAATAAAAAAAAACTAATTAAGACATGCATGTCCATCAACCTTAAACAATAATCTAACGATCTCTACTGATTGTACAAATACAAACATCGGAATAAATTCTTTATCTTTAGGGAAAGATAATGAAATCTAAACATACACAAGTCCTAACTAGAAATAATAACCAGAACGGGAAACTACTTTAAATACACATGGTGTCCAATTTTTTTACTGAATTCAATAAGTAATAATCATAAATTGTAAAAGATTATTATTACAGAAAGGCTACTAAATGAATAAGATTTGTTAGATCATAATTAATAAACCCAAATAAAGTTAATATATTTTGTATTAGAAACAACGAGTGGAAAATATATTCAAATCAGAATTTTAATTATGAATCACCACAGGCAAAATATGCAATTTTTTTTACTGTATTCAATAAGTAAAAATCATAAATTGTAAAACTAAAAGATTACAGAAAGGCTACCTACATTTTTTCAACCAATTTCAAAAAAACTTCACTTTTTTTTTTGGCATGTAGTGTTTCTTATTGTCTTGGACACTTTTTTTCTTTTATTTTACATTCAGAATGCTTTAAAAATTCCATTTCAAGACAATTGTTTATAATAAAATTCTGTTCAATCGGTAGAGACTCATAACGATTGAAAACAATGTTTTTGTTTGGGTTTGACCAAAAAAAAAAAAAAAAAACTAATTAAGACATGCGTGTCCATCAACCTTAAACAATAATCTTTGTCAATTTTATTTTTCAGTCTTTATGATGGTGGATACTTGATCTATCTCTTACTATTATATCCCCGGGCAACGCCGGGCTCTACTGCTAGTATATATATATATATATAGATAGATAGATAGATAATTACCATTTCACTTGGTCCATAAAATTGCATATTTACTTTTATGTCATCTACACAGGGAATTCATTTTACAATTGCTGTTGGTTTTAATGTGTATATATGTTAATGTTTGCCTGTATACACATGTATTTGAGTGAATGTATGCATGTGTGTGTGTCATGACTATAATTTAGAAAAAGTAGAAGATTCATTTTTTTTTTTTTTTTTTTTTTTCAATGCTATCAGTAACATAATGTTGTCAGTTATTTTTCTAAACCAATAAAACAGCGCCATCAGCTTCCCTTAATCTACTAATTATGTACCTTTTGTGTTACTAAAGTAGTATGGATCAATACTGTGTTTAATAAATATTAAATATAAACAATATTGAAAAATAATTATCTGAAATCAATAAAAACAGAATGCATGGTTGTTAACAAATGGAAGAGCCCAACAAAATTAGAGATAGCAAAATCAAACAAGTACAACAATTTAAATATCTGGAAAGTGTTTTACCAGAGGAAGGAAAGTGTAACTCTGAAATCAAACTGTACATTGGATTAGCTAAAGATGCATAATAAGTAGAGTATTAAATAACAGTAACATTTTGTTAGAAACAAAGAAGAGTACTGAACTGTTACGTATATGACAGTGAATGCTGAACAGTCTCCTCACAGATGAAGAAGAGACTTGAAGCAACAGAAATATGGTTGTATGGAAGGATGCTGAGAATACTATGGACTGAACCTGTGTTAGAGAAAATGGAAACAAAATGGACACTTGTACTTAACATCAGGAACAGACAGTTGAAATTTCTAGGGTACATAATGAGGAAAGAGAACTTGGAAAATTTTATATGCATTTGTATAATTAATAAAAGTATATATGTGTCTATGGATATTGTATAGTTTTCTTTTACTTTTTTGTCCTGTTTTGTTTCTATAGAAAATTAACCGAACACATCATGGCATGATGTCATGCTACTCTTGCTACGAATGTAAACCTGGGACATATCAGAATGAGAACCATGTCATCAAAAGCTGCAAACCCTGTAACACTTGTACAAATCAAAGAATTTTGAGAAACTGTTCTACAACAGAGAATTCTATCTGTGGAAACTGCTTGCCTGGGTAACCAATTATCATATTTTGGTGGTGGGATGAGGGAGATTTGATATGGTATGTATGATGTGAACCAGTATGTGATAAATCACTTTTTTATAGCTTTAAGATTTTTCCCAATAATTTCAAGTATGATGAGATATTTTGCATCTAAAGTTTGTAAAATTGTTACTTACTACATTAGATCTCCTAAATTTTATTGCCAAGCTTTATATTCCTTTTTTAAGTTGTGATTGGATATGAAGTTGTTAGTATGACAAAAGTGTTCATCTATGAAAGCATGGTTTGATCTAATGTTCATTAAACACTTCACTAGGATATATTATTGAACTATGTTTTGTTATTTTCATTGATGATCATGGTCATGGCAAGTATCTTGACTTTTTGTATGATGTGTTCTTACCATGAGATCTTTTAATAATATCATTTTTGCAATATTGTGGCAAGTTGTATTCTTAGCTGGAAAATATTGCCAAAGCTTGGATCTTCTTTAAAAGTAACAACTTTTTTCTTCACTGTGTTAATCCAGGTTACAGAAGAGGTAATTTAAGTGAATAGGTATCATCAGTAGTTTTTTTTTATATTCATAAGTTTAGGAGAGACTTTTCAATCCAGCAGGAAGGATTCCTAGGTTATTGTGTAAAACCTGCAAAAAAAAAAAAAAAAAAAATGTCAGAAACCATTTTTTTTTTTTTTTTTTTTAGCCCAGGATTTAATGTGGCATGAATAAAAGTCTACTCAGGAATTTATTAACAGAACCACCTTTCTTTACATTTATTCATACGCAGTCATAATACCTACCATAAAGACAGATTAATCAAATTATCATCCTAGTCATCCGCAGACTTCTGCAAAAGTTGGTGTGTTTTCTATTATGAAAAGTTCATTTACTTTGTGGGGTCAGTCTACCCAGATTTTAGGTGGGAAAATAAAATCCAAGTGTTTGTGACCACAAATACAACACAAAATTATAAACAATGCAAGTAATGATCTTTGCAGAAAATGAAGAAGACTAAGCTAAATATGACAATATACAGGTAGATACATGTATTTACATATTAACATTCAATGTTCATTGTCATGGCCATGAATAGACCAATAGCTCGATTGTTTGAAATAATTTGTTGCAAGTGAATCTGTAAACTTTTGAAGTGTTTTTGTTGCAAGTGAAGAAATCAAATGGTATGCATGTCAATATGTGTCAGTGTGTGAAGCACATGCTAATGAAACGTGTGTCTGCTGAAAGATTACATGCATTAGTGGTAATTTTAAATACGGAGATGAGATATGACTTACTTTTGTCACAGTTTTACATGTTTATCAGTGTAGAAAAATTGCTGACTGATGCATTATCATGGTAATGTGTCTATGCTGTTGATCGTGGCCAGGCCTTATTTGTTGACTGTCTCTTTGCAGATCTAATCGATGACTGTTCTTTCACTGACTATCCTTGACTGTTGCTTGCAAGTTGTTTTTATTGCTTGGGGTCAACTATAAAATACTATCTGAATTTTACACAATAACATACTCAGTAATCCAAGCTTTGACCCATTTCCAGGTCATTTGTAGTTCACCTGCACAGATGTCATAGAAAGCACATCATGTTACTTGTTCTATCCAATCAGGTTCCAGAAACCACTTGTTTAATTTGGAGCTCTGTTTGTACAGAATTACAAAAAAAAGTTTTCCTATGTACTGAATTTAATAAGATTTATTTGTTGGCATCTCTTACTTGTTTGTGCTACACTTATTGGTTGTAAAATATAGGAGTTTATAGGAGTTTTCTTTACGGGTGAAAAATTATGTGTCTAGCTGACAGTCCTGGAAATTTTACCTTTTTTCGGCAGTCTTTTCCAACAGTCTTTTCCTCTTCACTTGACTTCTCTGAGAGGGTCTGTTGGAAGATTTTAGTGTCCACTGAGTATTATGGCATTCAACTGATACGCAGATACTCTTTGTTGCTCTTATTCAATTGGTTGAATGGAATTCTAATTAAATATTTGATGTTATAAATGAAAAAAATATGTGTTTTCAGTCACAAGATTACAAGGTAATGTTAAGAATATTGGATTTTTTTATATATTTTGTTCTAAAATTTTACTTCATAAGTAATGTTTTATTGTTTTCATTTTTCCAGACATCAAGTCAAATATATAAATGGATCAGATGTATGTGAAAAAATTGGTATGTTTCTTTTAAAAGCCTTATTTTCTTTAAGGTTTCCTCTATCATAGAGAAGAAAATTATGAATTCAATCTCTGTATCAGCATAGAACCTGAGCGATTGTATAATAAAGAGAAATTGATGAGTTTTAGATACATTGGTGGAAATATTTGGATTAAATAATAAATATTCTGATCAATTTGATAGAAAAAAAAATACAAAAAAGTAACTGCATGCTTGAGTCAGGTGGTTTTCATTCATGTTGACTACATTTGAGAAATTTCCTTCATTTAATTCTCCAACACTTCAATATTTTATTCAATAAGGTGGTCTCCAGCCTCAATGCAGGCTTAGAAATAACTGAATGCCTGGGTGAGGTGGTTCCCATTTGTATTGGTCCTCAAATCCATGATGGTAGCCTTGATCAGGTCCTTGCTATTGTGAGGTTACTATTGGTCTGCTTCTCAATGTCACTCCAATAAGAGTTAGATGTCATGTGTTGGAGATGATATTATCATGAAAATTCACAGCCAATAACTTCTGGACCATGTGCTAGCCTTCTTAATTTCTGTTCACTATTTTTTAAAAAAATTTTTATAAGTGTAATGATATTTGGCTTACTAGTCTGTGCTTGCAATCCTTTTTAAAAGTATTTGCATAATATTTAAAGCATGCTTAAACAGTCAAACTGTATACACAATCATACTTATGCAACAAATGAATTTACAATCATATCTGGTGCGTATGATAAGCTTGTGGGTTATCTCCCCCCTCTACAACATTTCAACATGCATAAACTGCAACAAGCTAATAACTTTTGCCATTTGATTAAATATTGATTTTTAACAACTCTGCTGCAAGACTATTTTGAAATCTTTCATTTTGTGATTTTAGGAATCTCATTATATTGTTGTGAAGTTTTTATGCATAAATTCAAATTGTTGTTGCCAATATTGCATCTACTTTTTTCCTTATTGCCTATATTAGATAAAAATCATAGAACTATTTATATCATACATAAAATTCCATTTAAATAACTCAAAGTATTGGAACAAAGCATAAGTCACATATATTGTATTTTTTTCTTTTTCAAATATATTGATTTTTATTTTTGCTTTAATTGCAGAAAACTCCACTGGAATAGCATACAAGATTTCCACATTTGTTTTGTGTTCTCTCCTTTTACTAGGTATGTTCTGGTTTTCTAAATAAATATTTTAATATTTCTCAATCAATAAAAAGAGCATCCTTGTTAAAGATTGGGTGGTAGATGATTAAATCACTTAAACCAAACATATATCATAGAAGGGAAAAGTAAGTGTTTATATTTTGTAAATTAATGAATATTAATGGTTGATAACACAAAGTATTAAGATGAAACTTAGACACAAGGCCTTAAATTACCTGGGGTCTTGCTGCAAAATTAACAACAATTTAATTTCTATATTTCTGTGATGAGTTATTGTAATTATTTATATTGTTTAGACTTTCGTCCTCACCTTTGTCATATTCACATTTTACTCATTGTATGCTCTGTCCTTCTTCAAATGATTGGAATTTCAAACTGAACCCTTTATTTCATCCACTGGGGTAGATGGTTCTAGTTCCACATGCCATGCCTCTTCTAGATGTCTCAGTTATCTCCCTTTAATTCAGCTCACCATTTTTTTGTTCACCACTGTGGTAGCCTGGTATTGAATGCAAAACTCTTTAGGTCAAGTTACTGAATCCAACCAACACTTATCCATTGTATCCATATTTCCTTGAGGTCATCAGTATACGAATTTTTGGAACTTATAAACTGACTTTCTTAGCAGCTATTTTTTACCAGAGCTCATATTACAATTTTGTTGTTATTATTGCTTCTCTCTAGCACTTATATTGTTGGTTTCCATATTGTATTCATGCAGTGGGAAAATATGAAAACTTAAGGAATCAGCATATATGCTCAGCCATAAAAATTTCCTAAGCTGTCCAAGCATAGAAATGAATACAATATGGGAACAAGTAATATGGAATACTAGGGAAAAGTAGCAACAATAATAAAAACAAAATTGCAACATGAGCTCTGGTAAAAAATGAAGTTTACTGAGACAAGTTTATAAGTCCCAAAAAGTCATATATTGATGTCCTCAAGGACATATGGATACAGCAGATAAAAGTGTTGGATGAATCCAATACCTGGCTATTGCAGTGATGAACAAAAACTTGCAGAGTTGAGTTAAAAGGAGATAACTGAGATGTCCGAAAAAAGCATCACACGTGGAACTAGAACACTCTACTCCGGTGAACGAAATAAAGGATTCAGTTTGAAATTTCAGTCACCTGAAGAAAGCTTGAGCATACAACAACTGAAACATTGTGAATATGACAATAAAGATAAGGACAATAATCCAAACAATTTAATGGTTATGCAAGGAAATTAGAAAAATTGGTTTCTTGCTTTGTTCATAGAATTCAATACATGATAGCACTGTTCCAATTAGTGTAATGGTTAACAACTTGAAAGATAAAATCAGCATATTGAATTTGAATTGTTTACGAATACATATGCCACATTTATTCTATTAACCTAGTGAAAAACATGAATAAATATTTTGTCCAATCACAAGGCATTTTGCCTCTCATTGAAAGAAGATGTATGTTACCTGCCTAGTAAATTAGTTATAAGCATTGCCTGACAGCCTATTTCTTTGTTTTGCTAATATATAAAATATTAGAATCATATAGAATATCAGACTGAGTTGCTTCAATTGCATGTCAAGAATTAGTTTATTAAGCTGTGTAAGTTGTTACTTTGTGTTCACCAAGAATCATTATCATTTCAGCTATTTTATTTATCATTTGCACAAAGAGAAAGAAAATTTATGAAAAAGGTGAGTCTTAATTTTTGGGGGATTCACATTATTGGATCCTTTTTCTAAATAGATATCTGTTTGCTTTAATTCTATGTAAGTACACTAGAAAAGATTTTTGCTCTTCATCCATTAACTACAGCATAAATTTTTATCTCCTTGTTAAGTCATATAACTACAATGATAGAAATTTCTGTAGTGAATAGAGTATTCTAACATATAACCAAATGGTTTTAGTTATCTTAAATATCTCAAGACATACATATACTTTTATTTTGTTGTGTTTAACCAAAGAGAACCTTAGTCCCTTAACATTATAGTGTTACGATATTCCAAGTAGGGATTGCAGTTGTGTGTAGTCAGTACTATTTTTAACAGTGCAAGATTCTCACCTGTACTTTACATAGCAAGCTTATATATAACACCAGCTTCTAGTTGTATACTAATTAGTGGTAGCACTAACCAACTACTACATCTCCCTGAAACAAATAGGCTTTATGCCCTTCATTGATTTTAAGCTTCTTTGTCTATTTTGATTTGCTTCTCTCCCTATCTCTAGCGATCTATGTATATTCTTCTTTATGGGAGATCTATGTCTCATTTGTTGGTGACATCTTGTTCTTCCCAATCACTACTTGAATCATCCAAATTGTCTTGGTCTTCCATTGATTTCTCATCAATTATTTACTGTTGGTTTATAGGGTCTGAGCTGGAATCTCTTCCTAGTTTAATTTCCTGTTGGTTTATAGGCTCCAAACTGGACTGGCTTCCTAGTTCAATTTCCATCTTCCCTTCATGTTCTTGTCTGGATCTTATTTGATCTGCATGGGCCAGAATATTATTGCCCTTTTTAACTATTAATGCTGTATTGTGTCCCTTCTGCATTATAAAATTTGCCTTTTTGGGTGCAGATTTTCTATTTTTCTTATACCATATTTTTTCATTAATGAAGTATGACATGTTTATTGGGGCTACTAATCTGTCTCCAAATTAATGCAGATGGACTTTCTAATCTCTCAGCATGTGATATAGTTCTGTAACTATCTAATAGTCTTGGTAGGAAGCAAATCAATCTCATCTTGTTGAAAAAATTCTCAAAGTCCCATTTTTATAGTCTGTACAATTCTTTCTACAATTCCTTTTGATTATGGATGATACATCCAATTTTCTTTAACTAAGAACACAGATTTTTATCACAAAATTCTGGGTCATTATCTGATGCCAATGTTTTAGGTACCCCATTTTTAGCAAATATTACCTGTAATATTTGTCGTATTGTACTAGTTTTCTTATTGAGAATGTGAACAACTTCAGGCCAGGCAGAAAAAGAGTCAACCAAAATAAAACACAATCCTAAACTGTTAATGTATGCATGGTCCATATGAAAGTGAGATCAAGGTTCTGTCTCCTTAAGCTGTGTGTTTGTACTTTATTCTAACAAAGAATTTTTATTTCAGACATTTGTGCATGTGATTTTCAGCAGATCATGTACATATCCAGGCCACCATGCCTCTAGTTTCAAATGCTCCTGTGTAGCTGTAATTCTACAATGCACATTGTTATGTATAGTTTTTCATTATATCTTTTTTACACTTTTCAGGTGGTACTACTAAATCTCCATTACATACAACACTATTTTCAACAGTTCCAATTTCTTTGTATGACCTTTCAGTAGGCACCTCCACTGAATTTTTGATACCTAAGGTTTAAAATGAATTTTTAAAAATAAAAAAGCATTCTTGAAGTTTTCATTTTATCTTTAATTGAAAGCTAAAAGAGTAAATTTACTATTTCCAGTAAGCAAAATATTCTGGTGTATTACAAATAAAAATTATATTGATTAGAATCTCAACTTTTTAGTCACTTTCAGAAAATTGATAAATATCTGCCATTTTTGACACATTTGTAAACAAAAGTTAAGGTTGTAAAAATCTTCTAGAAATAAAATATACCTTTCTGAAACCTTACTTGAGGAATATTAGCTGATTTAAAGTATAATTAATCTGATTGAAAAAAATATTATCTTAATATAATGAAGAAAATAATAAAGAAATGGATTTTTAAAACAAACAGCAGCAGTGATTACACTGCCGTTCACCGTCACTTGTTACTCATCGATCACTTAACATGTTGATGATAAACTCTGATGATAAACTCTGTCAACACCTTTACTGTTGTTCTATGGAGACTTTCTGTTAAAACAATTTAAAAACATGATGAGTGAGCACCTTTTTTATATAATTTTCAAGTACTCAGTAACCTAAAAAAATGTTGGAAAATATTCTCCATAATTTAATTTTAGGAAGTTGAATTTAAATTTACTATAGTTGTCACTCTTATGTTCTGATTATGTCGTTTTTTTAAAATATTGGGGTAAATGACTTTTATTGAACTTTTCATTTCTTGATTCATAAATATAGTTTTCACCTCATAACAATATCACCTAACTGGATTGAAGTAATGCAGAATTTTAAACAATTTATATTATAAATTGTTATAATTAAGATTTTTAAAAAATGAAAACAATCCTTTTAAAAATTCATTATTCATCAAAAAAAAAAAAAAGTTTTCTTATAGTGTCCTTAATAAAAAAAAATTTCAATAGTGTCCTTAATAAATCTTATTTATAAAAGCAATTAAAAGCTTTTTTAATTAAATAAATGTCATAGTTTTAATGCATTTTTTGGTTTTACAATTCAAAGCAGATTTTTGTAACTGGAGATCTCTTGGAGATATTTACTGCCTAATATTGATTTGCCATTGTAATTACTCTATTTACATTATTCAGACTATTGTCCTCATCTTTGTCGCCATATTTATTACGTTTTGGCTGTTGTACTCTCCGGCCTTCTTCAGGTGGTTGGAATGTCGAGCAGAACCCTTTATTTCGCTCACTGGGGTAGACTGTTCTAGTTCTACGTGCCATGTTTAATGAATGTCAACTATCAGTTATCTCCTGTTAATTCCCCTCTCCAAGTTCTCCACTGCCTTAATTGGGTATTGAAATCACACTTTTTGGATACTGTCACTGGATCTAACCAACACCTTTATCCACTGTGCCTTGAGGATACATGGCACAGTGGATAAAGGTGTTGTTTTGATGTGAAGGCCGGAATGTACAACGGCTGAAACGTTGTAATAAATATGGTGACAAAGATGAGGACAATAGCCCGAATAATGTAAATAGTGTACATAATACCTCATCTCAGAAATATAGACAGATATTGTAATTACTATATTGAAGTGATAGGAAAGGTATGAACTGATTTGATTTTACTCAAGTATTGCAATGATCAAGAATAAATGGATAACTTGATTAGCTTAATACATAATT